TTCCCCCCCCCCCCCCTCCGACCCATCTTACAATCCACTTCTCTCTTTATTCGAATTGGTATAAATCCACAAAGCTGGAATCGCAACAATCTCTTCGTTCATTGTACATAATATCGCTTCACAAAACGCAGCGAATCATACTTTCTACATATTTCTGCAACCAGCCGGAGGAAATAGCAGGTTCTGGGCTAGATGCGTTATTCGAATGCCTTTTCGCTTTTCAGATCTCGTTTCAACTCTCTTTATAAATGTTTCGTTTCATTGTGGACTGTGTAGATGTTCTTTAGTGATTGTAATATTTAATAATTATTTCAAGAAGGATACGTTGGATATTATTTGCTGTTTCTTCTTCAGGTTTTACGTGATTTATTTTGATAAATATTTTATTTATGCAGGGTTATATAACGTTTAAAAATATTCCTCTCTGAATGTGGGAATTATTTAATGGCCGTAATCTTTAATGTCGAAAGCTGTTATTTAAAGAAAAATGCGATAAGTATTTGTTGAGGATTTTTCATTTCATCAATCTTTCATACTACAATAGAATATTTATGCAGTATCCTTTAACGTTCAAAGATACTTGACTTTTCCAGAAACTATTTAATATTTGTAATATTCAATACTGGTAATTAGTTTTAAATAAGAGAATATATCTATATATTACATTTCTATAAATTTTTTTTTTCTTTACCAAATCGAAGGTTTTGGTAAATATTCAATACCAACATAGTTTCATATTATTTAAGTATAATAGATACTCGTGTAAGTTATTTTTAATAGATGTAATTTTAAGCGTTTTTAAAGTTTAAATATGTAACTAATACAGTTAAATATTTTATCTTTGAAGTTCACTTCAGTTGCTCGAATGAATATTTGTTTTATGAAAAACTCTAAATCGTCTAAAAATATTTCACTATTGGCGGGACTATCTAAATAATTAAATTTATACAACTAATAATTGCTTTCTGGAAAAGAACGGTTTACGGTTTTTCTAAAAATTGTATTTTTATACCGTGTAACTGCTTTGTGTCCTTTTTGTAAAATTTTTCTTCCGGTTTGATTAAATTTTTTTGCGAAGATCGGGTCGTGGTAATATTTGCTTGTGACATCACGGTACAAACTTTTAATGGAACAAAGTTGCAACGGACGTATTCCCTATAAAATTAAAAAAAATTGGAAGTTCCTCTACATCTTTTCATTATCGTGTCACTTTTTCCTGTGTTTTTAGGGAATGTTGCGTGAAGATGGGCGATGAGACAGCCATTTCTATACAACCATTTTATCCAATAGTCAATAGTAATACTTGTATCGCTAATAATTTACATCATCTGTAATTTTGTTATTCAAATATATTTTATAGAGAATAAGCAAGCGTTACGAATACTTTTGATCAGTAGCGTATCTTTCACACTTATTAATCCAAAAATTTTAGAGCCAAATTCGAAGCTATAGTATTAATTATTTTTTCGTAAGTAAACAAAAATTCCATTCGTGACGAATTTGAGAATTTATTATTTTTATTTTCCTCCTAGTTCGATTTATCCGTAATTTTGTAATACATTTTTCCGTAATTTTAGAATACATGTAATTATATTCGAATTTATAATTAGAATAAATGCAAGTATAAAGTGTATATTATAACCATTTAAATCGACGATTCCAAATTCTATGCAATATTTCAGTCTTCACAAGAGAACTGTACCTATATCTATTTACATCTTGCGTTAGTTAGAATTACCAAGCTGAATTGCCAATATACTCACATTTGATGTCCAGATTCAGAGGATTGCTCTCTCCATCGCCTTCTTGGTTGCTGCCAATACATGTGTAGATCCCAGCTCTGCTTCGTGTTACGCTTTGCAATACTAGGCTTTGATTACTGATTATGGTTCCTGTCGCTGGATTATGATACAGCGGATTGCCCTGTCGATATAAAATCGTGATCACTATATCCCATCATAGATCGGAAGTACATCTAACTTTTCGACAAACGACGATGACGAAGAACAATAAAGACGATGGGTCGTTAAAATGTTTCGTGTACGACACACTGCCTAGAAATCTATTTTATGTATAGTTCTCTAAGTTATTGGCTTAATTGACTATGAATAGAAATGTTATCTGATCAGATATCGGAGGAAGTATACTTTTCGGAGATAGAGTGGAATGTTTATGAATTTACGGGAAATTTAAAAGTCCAGCAAAACCGTCCTTTTCTTCTGTTCTATTAAATAACATCAAAATCAGGAAATCAACGAAACTGTGCTCATCATGCTTTTGTCCTGTGTTTTTCTTATGCAAATTGAGGTTACGCGAGCAACATATACGTGTATTTGTTTCCTCGTCCAGCTCACTTCGGCAGACGGTGAGGGTAATTTCGAAGTGAACCGTTCACGATGATTGATAGTTTTACGTGAACTTGATGCGCGTGCAGATCGATAGATACCATTCCATGCATAAATTTGCCGAAAAAATTAAAAAGGATGACTAGAGAAAGGGAGGGGAAAAAATAAGGCGAAGGCTGCTGACAGTTTTTCAATTTCTCAACCGTGCCAACCGATGTATTACGTTCTCCTTTTTCGAGTGTCGGAAATCTCCTTTGAATTTCCTCAAAACACATTGGCACCAGTGGCGGAGATCTTCCGTACCGGTGGTCGTTCTCGAATCAAACGAAGAATCGACAAAGGCGCCTGATGTTCTCTTGACTAGAATGACATCGAGATCTAAAGGCGCTCGAAGAAATATTTATGGAACTCGGATCAACATAATGCAGTACAATGCAATATACCACGGAAGAGCCTTTGTATTCGTTTAAAATAAACCTTACTAATCCCTCTACGGGACAGAGGCATGCAATAAACAGAAACGATATAATAAAATCGTAAAATCTGTCAGTTGTTAAAGTTTAGAACTTTCGACAAAAGCGTTAAGCAGATTGTTGAGGTTATTAGATGTATAAACAGAGAAACGCGTGGATAAATTGTAAGGTATTTTAGGTATCGTAAGGTAAGATATTTTAATATAGAAGTGTAAGTACAAGTAGGAATATAATTTGAGCTGGTCCAGATCCGCATGCAGCAGTGTTACCCTATAACTGAAAACTCCGAAGCTCTCGTCGCTTGTCTGCTGTCTATGGTTTGCCTTCGTCGCAATTGACCTAACCGCAGCTAAGAATTATCAATTCTGCGAATAGGTAGATTTACTTCGAAGTACAATGGAGTCTCGGTTATTAGAGTCCTGTCTAAGGTTGTATTATTCGAAATGTTCTAAACTTTACTACAACTTCATTTTTATCATGAAATTTTTAACACAAAGTGTATAAAAGCGTAAATAGTCAGGTATTGTAAAAGCGGTTAACCAAACTTTCAACTGATTAAATAATTAATCAAACTTAAATACACGTACAACGTAACATTATTAAAATGTTTTCTATGATTTTCACGTATCACGTCGGATAATCGAGGTTCTACTGTAATCACATACATACATTATTTATTTCGACGGTTAAAATAAGAATAATCGAACGTCATGAAGTTAATTAAAATTTTTTCTTTTTAACAACTGTGCGAAAAAATGATATTAACGAAGTAGTTTTGCTCTTTCTTGTTGAAATTATTTCCTACTTTCCGTCTAAGGACTGTGGAGTTGTTCTACGCTGGCGAAAGAGTAAAGTTACACTTCGCTGGCTAAAATATTCACAATGGAACGTAGTAATGCAAAATATACGATTCTCTTATTGGAGAGACTGGGGCTATGAAACGTAAAGGCGCGTTAAAGAACGGGTGAGATGTACTGTCAGAATGCATTCGCCTTAAAACGCAAACGGAATTAATAATGACGGCTTGCGAGAAAAGCGTAAGAAATCAGGAACGGTTTACGTTCTTTCTTGCATTTTTTTTTCTCTTAATAGAATATTTTTCGAAAGCTAATAGTAAATGGAAATTTTGTCAATTAAGAGATGCTGGAAGAATATTTTTGAGTTAATCGTAAATGGGATATCGCATCTATGTAACCAATCAGTGATCCGCGGTAGATTGAACGCGTCAATATCAAACAGATTAATATTGAATAGGAAACCTGTTCATTGGTACAACTAATCATTAAACAAATCTCTCGCTGTGATTGCCATAGCTCAATACCAATCACGTCCCACATCGTTGGTTCATCGGATCGGTCGCGAACAACAATTGACTTCCCTCAGTTATTTCATTCGTAGAACTTCCAATAGCCTGATGAAATTTTATCACAGAACCACGTATAATTATGTACCGATATTAATACAGCTTTGTTACATAACAGATCAAATATTTTATTGACTAACGACCAAGAGAGTGACTAATCTTTTAATTTTGATTTTGTCATTTTGTTCATAGTAGTTTCAATAGATTTACGAAGTATTACGCAGCCACGTACAATTACGCACCGAAATTCATGAAATTTTGTTAAATAGTAAATAAAATATTTTATTTGTTGGATCATTTAATTATATACATTATGCATGGAAAAGTTTCCAGTCACATAGATCTTATATTGCAAAAGCGACGTTTCAATTAATATTTCTTGATAATCGAGGTAAATAATATAGTAATATAGTTATTGGTTAATTTACATAGAAAGCATATTTATTTTGTAGAAATTGGTATTTGTAATTAATCTATGCAATCTCTGTCAAATTTCTGATAATTAGTGTAGAGTTATGGATTATTAGTTAATGTATCTACAAAGTTTATTTGGTACGCACGAATTTATATTTGTAATTAGTCGATATAATCTCTCTTTACAAACTTGATAATTAATATAAATAGTAATGCGTGTTATAAGGTACCTACTAATTTATGTAGAAAGCTCATTTATTCTATGCTTTCTATACTACAAAATTTGTGCAGTAAATTCTACGTCGAAATGAAAGCTACATCGTTTATTTTTGTTTCTGTTAATTCTGCGATTCTGCTTAAGCGAAGTAATTGGCGAATAAAGTGGGATGGCATTGCCACTTATTTCAATAGCTTTTATTATTAATTTGTTACTAGTTTCAACCACGTAATTACTTAAGGTTCGTTTGATACAATGAATAATACAAAAGTTGAATTCAAGTAATACAGAAAACAATTTATATTAGCTACAAAAGAGAAGAATTTTCTTTAAATCGACAAATAAATTTTAATTTCTTCTTGCTAATAACCTATCATCTTTAATCTATATTTACATATATCTATCATGTACTTGTTAGTTACAAAGATCGAATTCAAACACAACTTAAAACCAAAGAAGAAAAATGTAAAAAAAGAAAAAATTCATTTGACTCTGGAAATTAATTCTAATCATTACTATTCTTTCTTTAATTTATGTCTATTATCTTTAATTATTAATCATCTCTCATTCCTTAACAATAATATAATATGTATCTTAAAATAGATGAAACAAGATTCCTTCGCGTATCACCCTAAAGGTAGCATGACATGCCAAACTTGAGAAATTTGAAATTTAAGATATTTCTCCAGGAACTTGGTCTATCAATCTAAAGCCAAACCATCTAACGCCTGGCGTAACATCAAAGTCCCAAGAAAATCGGTGCACATCACTTGCCGCGGTTCCCCCCTGTGAACTTCCTATTAACGATGATCTCCGTCAGACTTCACTCCATTTAAGGAGAAGCTTGAAGCGCTTAGGGTTACGTCAACGGTTCCCGAAGCTCGCCGATAAATTTCTTACCGATGCGGAACGTTGGCTATTAGTTCAAAGAACGCTTACACATTGGTTCCCGATCGGCCCGTATCAGCATGTAAATTTTAAACAGAAACTTCGCGTCACAGCTGCGCTAACCCGTTCCCCTTATCTCGTCTTTCGATTAAGGCTTGCTTCTAAATTATCGATTCCGGAACTGCCACGCAATTTCGTTATCTGGCTGTTAGCGAGCGTTCCATCGCTCCCGTTCCCGTCGTCGTCGTCGTCGTCGTCGTCGTCGTCGTCGTCGTCGTCGTCTTACATAGAACATATACTATCGATCAACGATTTGGAGTCGATACTTCTTCAATTGTTCTTCTACATTGAATTACTTGTTGATTTTAATATAAATATGAAACATTTATCAATCATATTATCAAGAATATTATCGTTTACTTAGTTTAATTTTCAATTGTATACGATTACTTATAGCAGATTACGCGTTCATATGAACTCCATTTAGTCGAATCCAGTGAATGTCTGATCGAATGAACTCTCGTTGGTTGAATTTATTTATTCGAACGTGAACTTTTATTATATGAATAAAAAATCATAGGTGTGGGAGGAGAATCAATGGGCTCCTATTACATGAATTGCAATCATATAAATTATTTCTTCCTTCATTAACTCATACGAACGGAGTTTTACTCTATCAAAGAGTTTTCTAAGATTGCAGAAGTATAAACCGATTCTTTTTGTGATTCTGTCTGTCGAGATCTACGTAACATGATAATTCCAAGTTTTTAGCCGGTAGTGTATTTCCCATTTGTAGGAACAATGACATATTTCAAGATTTGCTGTTTTCGACTTCTTAGTATAGTAAAAGAGATCGTTGCGTTTGTATTTTAAAATTTATTTTCATTCGATGTTTTAATAATTTTAATTTATTTTAATGTATCAGGTGACTTAATAGATGAAAAGGGGTGCGATTATGGTTGGTTTGAACTTACGTTGTGCCGCCAGGAGACTTTGTAAACCCACGGATTCGACTTGATGTTGCACTCGAAATAAACGTCGATACCCTCGCGGATTGCGCTCAAGTTCAGATTGCTCCCAAGCTCGAGCATAACCACCGGTTCGTCTGAAAGTTTAACCATGTCGTTATGTAAGAAATGGTACAATGTTTTGTTTCGGGCAACTGCACCCAGCGCGCGAGTACGTTTTGCGCCTTGGGTGCAGTGTAAGTAAGCAGTTAGAGCGATAGGCAAGAAATAGGATTGTTTTGTTTATGCGTGGAGTTTGCTGCTGAGTTGGATCATAAATAGGTGGAAATGATCTGTATTTTAGGTATGGTTGATGGAGATGCTGCAAGTTCATTTTTGGGATATTGAAAAGTGTGGTGCATGTCTGTGTTGGGAGTTGTGTTCGTTATTAGATTGTTGTTGTTTTCTGTAATTAAAATATATAATTACGTTTTGCTTAGGAGTATTGTTAATCATGGCGTTAACTTTCGTGCACTGTAAGATACGAGAAGAGGAGATTGTTTCCTCTTTTAGAACTCAAATGAACGTATAAAAAAATGGTCCAACATTGTGGAAATATTATAATAAGAGGATTATATACAGGATGGTTGGTAACTGGTAGTACAAGCGGAAAGGGGGCGATTCTACGTGAAAAAAGAAGTCGAAAATATAGAATAAAAATTTTTTTTTAATTTTTTTTTAATTTTTCGAAAATTCAAAGTCGATTTTCTCGAAAACAAAGCCTAAAACGAAAAATTTTTATTGCATATTTTCTACTTCTTTTTTCGCGTAGAATTATCCCCTTTCCGCTTGTACCACCAGTTACCAATCACTCTGTATATTTCGAAGAGATAATTAGCAATTGCAAGCATTGTACAAGTATAATAATATGTGTATAATCGTTTATAATGAGTATATATAATATTAAATGTGTATGAAAAGAGTTTCAGTTATAAGAATTATAATCGTCAATCACTATCGTTAGAAAATAACATTATTTTTATTTTATTAATTATTTTTATTAATTTATAAAATACTAAAGGGGAGTATATTTCTCTCAAGTGTACGCGTACTTACCGGTATATGCTATAGTTTATGAGGTAAGCAATCAGTTTGCTTGCAGCAATATAAGCTTGCATGATAAACCCTGTTTACACACCAAACATCTATTTACTATCCATAATTTTCAACACAAGTAGGTTAAATTCCCACTTGTATTTAACGCAATATTGTCTGCTCTGATAACAACAAAATCAATTGTCGCTGTTAATCCTTTCTTGGCTTCAGCCTCCAGGCGATCTGAGATCAGGAAGATACAATATATCAAACTGGTCCAATGTTTTCCTGTAGCATCGCACAATGTTTTTTCAACAACAACACACTCTTCCAAGGAATTGATGTTTCTATGCCACGATTCGATTGATACTTCCTTAACAAAATCTATACACTAATTATCCGTAAATTAGGCGCAACATGAAATTTACATATTAAATAGAAAATATATTCATATGGTCACATACAATATTACGTATAAACGTTATAACATTTACACATAAATATAGAGTACGTTCGTTTTAAATGTGTACATGTGATTATTTTTGTAAGCATCAGGAGTGCCAAAAAATGTTCCGGATGAAAGTTCTTTAATTTCGTGGGGGAAACTTAATAAGATCTCTCGATCTTTTTTTACATTATTATTTAGATAGATTAAATGCCAATGTAACTTCCTAAAATGGAATTGTACATTCTTTTTATACAGCATTGCGTTGAAAAATATAAACATAAACGCACTGCATTATCTTTCCTTGTCTTTCTTACGATAAGCTGCACAAGATTAAAGTCAAAGTATCTTTTAGACTGGTCATTTTTCGTCCCTAATACCCCAATACCTTTTTGTAGAGAATTAAAAAATGTATCGAATGGTATATAGGATATGGTATATAGAAAAAGTGTATATTGTATATTTCATTTAAAGGAGTTACATCGGCATTGATATCTCCTTAGATAAGAGTGTAAAAAAATCGAAATATCTTATTAACTTTCCTCCATGAAGTCAAACAACTTTCATCTGAAACGCTTCTTCACATTTCTGATACTCATACATGCATACATATTTGACATACTCCACATATTATTTAAAAATATTATGTTTTATATTTTGCGTATAAATTTTTGCGTTTCACTGATGCACGTATGGAATATTTAACTGAATATTTGCATAGAAATGTGTTTCACAACAAATGAAATTAAAAGGAGTTAAACAAATTCCAAGGTAAATATTAAAAGATAATGTTTGTAATCCTTATTTTCTTTTCTGTATTTCTATTTATAGTGCTATTCTCACAGATGTTGACTGAATCATTTGCAAAAACCATCCTTGAGTAGTTCTCACGGGTCTAGAATTACGCTTCAAATAATCGTTTGCGCGACAGAATCGAGTGGATGACTTCGCACGATAAAATCTTTTTATTCCAGCAGGACGCATGGAACATGTCTGTAGATTTCGCGACAACCTCTTAAACCGATCTCATAACGAACCGGTCGTTATGCAAACTCGCTATTCCTACCACCATTCCTGGAGATTAACACCGTGATTCCGCTGTCCAATATAAAAGTTTTCCTCGATTAGACAGCGAACAAGGTGGAAGTAAGAGGACACGAACATGAAACGAAGGGGGAGAAAAAGAAGAAAACAAGGATCAGTTCAGCTTCGCGGAAATTAATGGTACATGCCCATCCATGGCTTAAGATTCTCTCGTTTTCTCGATTTCCTTCCTTTCGTTTTCGTCCAAAACCTTCTTTCTCCCCGTATAAAACTCGTTTTTCCTTTCTCTATCCACCTATTGCTCTATCCCATAAGTTTAGAAGTTCGTTCCACTCGTTCTTCCTATCAGATTTTCTTTGCACCTTCCTTCGTGACTGCTCTTGCTCTTCTTTCTATCTTCTATTCTCATATTCTCTTTCTACTTGCTATTTCTCTCGTTTTTTTTTTCGTGCTCTATATTATGCAAAAAGGAGTTATCAAAGGAGGAGTATATTATGTATTATGACGAGTATATTTTTGTTGAATCTTTTTGCTTTAATGTTAATTTATGATTGTAAGAAGGATTTTAATATGATGTATAGACAACCTCCATACAACACGATATTTCTACAACACAATTTTAATATTTTCAATATAATAACATCATACGGTATTAAGCAGTATTTTAGTATCTTCGATATTCTAATACGATGAAGATTAGTATTTTGAAAATTTTGACAAGTATAATTAGGTCCGAAAGACTGATTGACAACGTACTAAATTTTATAACTTTGTTTTCCAGTGAAATGTTAGAAACTTCGCTTATCGTTTCCTACTTGTGTAGTCTTCATATTATGATCTTCATGTATACATCGTGACTTTGGGTCTGATCAAATTTGCACGTGGTGTACTGGTCAATTCACACAAAGAACCGACCAGTTATTGACTTAAGATCGAGCTTGAATTTAGAATCGCGTAGAATGATGAATGCTTGCGATTGCTAACAATGGTTGTTTAGTTACACTTATTGTGCTACTCTATGTGTTTCTAAACTCTATATATTCTATGCTGTGAATTCTGATGTGTAACCAAGCAGTGTATTATTTAAATTCTGAATTCTCATGTTTAATTAAGCAGTGTGCTATTTAAACACTGAATTCTGCCCGCAGGTATAAAAAAAAAGAAAAGAAAAATAGAAATTTCCAACGATATGATATTTTCGATATTTCACAATGAAAATAAATTTTAGAAACCATGAGATTTCCAATAAAATAATTCGACATTAAATACTCTAAATTGTAGTGCTATAGCAAAAATGGCAATGGTTTCTAACTCATAAACCACGCCTCATATCAAGCTTTAACATATTTTCTCCTCCATCCTGCTTTTTCCCAGTTTCTTTCCTCTTTTTTGCTCATTTACCTACGAAATCCATCATCTCCTCTTTTCTCCTTGAACCACTCTCTTTTTCCATCGATAATCGCGCCAGTCGGTAATTTCAGCGGGCGAGACGGTAACACAGAGACGGGGAGGTGGTTTCAGCTGGTGGGAAGGAATAAGGAAAAATTTACTCGTTATTGCAGGCGCGAGATCTTGTGGCGGAATTAACGGATTTGTTCAGTGGACTCGCATTACGAGAACCGAGGTCGAATGAAATCATAAGCAAGAACTGGTTGGCGAACGTCGTAAATCGCTATCACGGCTGCTCTTTTACAGATTTTTACCCTCTCTTTCTCTTGCTACCCCTTTCCTTTCATCCCCTCTATCGTTCTTATTTGTTATTCTCTTCGTCTTTTTTTTTATTTTGCTTTCTCGTTGTTTTTGTTCGTTCGTTCATTGGTTCTTGCTCGAGTTTCAACGGCGAAGAAACGATATCGAGCGAACGGTCACGAGGGAGCAGCGGATTTCTTGCTAATAACGAGAGCGAAATATCGAGTGTGAAGTCAATACACGAGCCCCGACTTGACAGAATCTCAACGGATAAATAAGTTCCCCAACCCCTTCTTTTTGCTCGTTTCTCTGACGCCGATGATACACGCGAGTTTTTAATTTCGGTAAGCGAATGCGATTTCGACGGCCTTTGAGACGACTCGGCGCTAAAACGCGCGTTTACGGGTGCTTAGAGAGGGTGGCAAAGGAAATAAGGAGCACGAATCGTGGTCAAGTAGATGGGGGATATTTGTCGTTCGACGGATTAGTAAAAATTTCGCTTTTTTAAATCAAAGGCGCGATATTATATTTTACTTTTTAATAGAATATAATTTTGCAATAATAATTTGCTTTTTAATTAAAATAATATGAGCTGACAGAATTTTGAATTGAAAGATCTACAGAACATTCAAAACATTTTGTACTATCATCGATTAATTAGATTGACATTTGCCAACCAACTGAGAAGCGTGAGGTGTAAGTGTTGGCCGTGATATAATTGTAGATGCTGGCTATGTAGATGTCGCTGATGGGATCTGCTATTTTTCTTCTAATTTAGATGCGTGGAATAAAAATCGGACTCCAGTCGCCGGGATTTGAACCCGGGTTCCGAATGTTCGTAACCTAAGGCGCTAACCACTGCGCTGCCGTCATTTTTTTTTTTGAGGGAGATTTAAAGTATATTGAGTCCAAGAATACAGTTTTAGGTACATATTCACAATAAACGGTGAATTTTTGTAATGGTATGTTAGGCAAAGGTACCGATACGCGGCGGTACGACGTAGCCATGCTGTATTATGTGTCGGCGCTTTACATTTTTCGTTGTATGATACAATTTTTGGGTTTAAGCCGCTGGGGAACAGAGCTTTTTTTTCTGTCCTGAAAACTTGGTCGCAAAACAGGACGCTTCGGTAGTTTGCTTTTGCGCTTCGGTAGTTTGCTTTTATTAACTAAAAATTTTCTGAATCGGCAGATATTAATATTTACCTGCCCCCTAAAATTGTTCTTTCTGTAGACTATTCTGTAGACTTTCTAGACTATTCGTGGATTAAAATAGAAAAGAAACGAGAAGGAATCGAAATAGATGGTCCGAATAGTACATTGAAAATATTCTTTTAAATATTTGGCATCGATATGCTTCTGGTCTGAGCGTTTATGTTTTGTTTATAATGTGTTCTGGTTGGTTGCCAAGAAACTTGTTCCACTGTAAGATTGTACATCGGGGGAATCGTGTGCTGTCATCAGGTTCTTAAGTGGTGTGGGTGTTAGTGGAGCGGAAATTTACAGAAGGATGACTACTCAATGCAGAACAAGGCTGCATGAGCGAAAGAAATGTCTAAAAACGGAAGACTCGAATGCGAGAGAATGCATCGATCGTGGCAATCTAACTGCTTGAGATTCGAAGCACTCTTTACCGTGGTAATAGGATGGATAGCAAAACAATAGAACTCGAGCATTGTCAATAAAAATGGTGAGAAGAACGTTGGAAAATACTATAGATATTCTGTTTTCTAGATATTCCTTTTATTATCATTGTTGATTTCTTTGTTCTACTGCGTGTATGTTAAAAGCGATCACTAATAAAAACTGTTTAATTAGAGATTAAAAATTTCAAAAATGGGTGAAATTTTCAATTCGAATGATTGAAAGTTGTAATCTCAATTTTCTCGAAAGACATAGATATTCCGCTTACTATCTTTTATTGTTATTGTTACTGTTGTAACTTCTTTATTCGTGAAATATCTGCTTCGAGTATTAAAAGCGATTATGTAAAAAACATTGAATCACAGATTACAAATTTTAACCCCTTAACGTATGACTTACGTTCCAGAATTTTGGGCCCAAAACGTAAACAAGCTATTATATATTATAATATATATTATATTTGGCCCGATCATCGTACTACGGGCCATGCTCGTAGTTGTAGGTTAAGGGGTTAAGAATGTTCGATATTTTCAATTTGCATTATCGAAACTTTTAATCTCAATCTTTGACATTTGACATGACTTATAAACATTATCACCGAAATTTGATATTACGTATATTATTCAGTTTCCTCACAATTATTATATTTCATTCTATTATTTTACCTATACAATAACGGATTACATTTCTTTCATTTCCCGACTACGAAATATTATATATCATACTGTACATTCTAAGGTTAATAATTTTCAAAAGCTCTCACGTTTTACTATCGTGTTACCGTTCCTGCATACTGCAGCAACGTTATCATCGTTCTCTGGCTTGAACTTTTCAGTTGGCGCAGTCTGCGAAGCCTCGAAAGAATTAATTAAAATTTTTAATTAATCCAAGTAAACTACGTACCATGGAAAGTTGACTGGAAGAATAGATGGCCATGACGACACGCGTTTCGCATTAGAGTTCCTGGCTTGTTGTCGACGAGACAAACTTCAGAGAAGCTGTTTTCACCACTCGAAACAATCGGTCGTCAATGCGTTGCTCTATCGATTAGGCGAATTAAATTACGTTCCACGACGCGACGCAATAAATCGCTCATCAACCATATTTCATTTTTATTGGACAGCTATATGGCCGTGTTTCCTCGTAGACTAGACATTGCGAAAACCCGATTGAAGCATTTCCAAATTTTTCCCCGTCGGGAAACCAATCAGACAGATTTCTAGATCTGTCCTCGACACTGTTGACAAATTTTCCCGTCTCTTCTCTCCCGTTCTACAATTTTACGTAATCAACGCTTGCTTTCCTTTGATTCTGTTTTGCTATTTTTGGAGCGTTGAATTGAGATTAGGGAAATTAGGATCAGGCTTATAATTAGGTGTCCTGAAAGTATTTTAGTATTTTATGTTTCATTGATGGATTTTTGAATATTTACGCAAAATTATATTTTTCTGGACATAATTAAAAATGTTGATTTTCTTAGTTATCGATGTAATTGATGAGCTAGGAATATAATTTAAAAAAGTTTAATTTGTTTAGTTATGTTCATAGTATCAAGTAGGCAATTTAATAAATATGAAGACGAATATTTTGATTTGAATCGAAAAAATATACAGTCTATCTGTTTTTATAAGATTAATTCTTCTTACGTCTTTATACAATTTAATTTAGTAAATATTAGTTGACTTTATATGTTGGAATTTTGCAAATACAAGAAGCATAATAGTTAATGCAAGGGGGGTTAAAGAGAATTATTATTTGGCACGATAGTGATTGACGCAGCACGACAGGTCCCTTTCTACTCTAAAAATTCTATTTTCGTCGCAATCAAACAGAAAATATTCCATTCAAAGCCCAAAAAACACACACAACACCTATCTCTGAAAATCAACTGATCGAAACTGTCTTGTTACTTGTTCTCTATTTTTCATGGTAGGTGTGTGACCACCACCTGTCGTGGAAGAAAATATTGCCGAGAGACGTTTACCTCCACTCCCCGTAGATCGTCACTATGAAATTTCAATGAAAACACACTCACGGTGTATATCGAGCTTCCATCCGTCCTCCATCTCGGAATCCGGGATATCCGGCACGCTGCCGTGGCAGGAGAGGAACTTGCCAGCGTCCTCAATAGTCGGTACGAACGTGAGAATGCTGGTGGTGACGTTGGAGTCGGGGCTCATCTGTGGGATGGCTTTCATGAATTTAAAACAGTTTACCGAACTGGTCTGCCTGATCGTTGAGCTATATCCACGCTAGAAAAAACAAACGCTGGCCGCCAAGCTGATTTAGAGAAGTTGAAGCTGACGGCCGCCGGAAGTCGAACCCCCAGGGAACGAAAGTGCAAAAAAGAATGAGAGAGAGAAAGTGTGTGTGTGTGTGAAAAAGAGAACAAACACACACACACACACGTATATATATATATATCTATCTCTATATATCTAGAGAGAGAGAGAGAGAGAGAGAGAGAGCTTCTTGAACACGAGAGCATGTTTTTTTCATAGTGTAATTAAATCCTTCGGCCTCGAATCTGGAAGCCCGAATCTGTTGCATCGGACGTCTTCGTGGATCTCCTTTTGTGTTTAACGTTTTAGGTGATGATATAATGGGAATTTTTATAAGAGAGAAATATTGATCGGGTTGGATGATTCGAAGATAGCGAAAGTAGTGTTTGTTAGGTTTTGGGTGGCATTGTATATTTACAATGACTCGTGAAAGTATTTGAACAGCTACCGTAGGAAATTTGTATTTATATATTGTTATGTAATGTAATATGTTATGTAAAACACTTTGAAATTTCACTAGTACCGTAATGAAATACGACTGTCATGATTATATTGATAAAATTTGAAACAATGTGAAAATGTAGATAGAAATCATAAAATATTTACTGCGCACACATATTTAGAAAAAAATTAGTATATGGCATGATAGTCGTCTTAAGCATATAATAAATGTCAAAGATTACTCCAACGAATATTAAGGTTTATTAATGTAATGAACAATTGATTGCTTCAAATCTTTCGTCGTCTCTGTTCTGTGAAATATATACATGCACTAAGTACGTTGCAGCTTCTATGCAAATTTTCAGATTTATTTCAAACTTTTCCAGTATAATCATGATACATGTTATATGTTGATACATGTTGGTAGATATTGCGTTCCATTATAGTAATTTTTTAAAATATTTCGTATAATATACATAATGTATTTATAAAAATTTCCTACAAGTGTTTGATTATTTTTGAAGTACAACTATGATGTTTTGTAGCCATTGACGAGATTAGTATCGTTAGATGATGATACAATAATGAATTTAATATTTACATACTCGTGCTCTCTCTCTATTTATCTTTCTTTCTTCCTCTCCCTTCTCACTATAATTATTTTCTACATTTTATTACACCTTGAAAATGTTAATTTTACCGTCTGTCTGGCGTTCCTCAGCATCAAACTTCCTTTCGACCACGTGATCTTCGGATTTGGTCTCGCTCCAACTATCTCACAGCCGATCTCGTACGTGGTGCCTGCGCTAAATGGACGATTCTCTCCTTGCATGCGGACCCACAATGGTTTCACTGAAACACGCGTACCATCCATTAGCCCTCTTTGCTCGAAAGAACTATCAGTTGCAGGCAAGATTCCGCCGCGTTTATGGAACCTGTCGAGTGTTTGAGTAATCATTTCGAATGGTTCCATGGTTAATGGAAACTATTTTGCGAAAGTTTCCAATATGGAACACGGTTTTAGCAGCCTCCGTTGTTCAATTATTTGTTTAACATTTGTCTTCTGATGGAGAAGTAGGATTGAATCTCGGTTTCATTAAGAGCAGTTTAAACACTATTCTACTTTTTTTTCCCCCTACCAGAAGTTGATTCGATGACGAAATTGACTTTCGCTCGAAATTCTGTTTGCTGTGGCGGAGTAATAAGTGTAGTGGATGTTCTTTTTGCAGTGTTTTGCTTTCTTTTTAGGAGATTGGATTTTGTGTGGGTGGTGGATGGAAATGTGTGTTTTCAGGTTTACGGTTCCTGCTTTTATTTGTTCTGGTACTATGAATGGCGCGTGTTATTGTATACATTCAAAGAGGTGAATTATTTACTCTTGGCGTAGATTGTTGTATTTTGTTGTATCATGTCCAATCTTGTTTCTTTGTATCGTTGTATCAAGTTTTAGAAGTGAAATGGCAGGGAAATAAGTGGAATTGAAATGTCACGTAATTAGGAAACTAGATACGACAAATTTTCAAGTGTTCCTTCTAAAAAATTCATTTGACAGAAACCAAATTTTGCATACTTAATCTAGAAGAGTAGAGTCAAGTTTTTCTTCACTACTAGAAAATGGTTACATAATTTTGATTTTTTCAATCTACCCTAATGGGTACATGTTAGAATTATTTTTGACTTTATATCAGGAATCATAGCACTGGCATATCCTTTTATTTTTTATTCTGTACTTCAATCAGTATTAAGATTTCTAATGATGAACATGTATTTTATATATTTTACATATACGAGGGTCGTCGAGAAAGTAACACTGTCTTGAAATAACAATAATACAAATGCATTTTAAGAAATTTTCTGTATTTGTAACTTTAGTATATATACTATGTTATTTTTCAGTACAACCAACAGCCCTATTTGAACACTTATCGTCTTACACAGTCCTTTAAATGATTGTTTCTTGTGAAGCGTTATCGAGCCAAAAGATTTTTAATTTTTGCAAAAAAAATGGTAATCTGACTCGTTCGAATAGTGTATCATTTGCAATGAAGTCGCAGACGTTCTTGAGCTCTTCTGTAATAAAAGCATGAATCCTTACGATCACGTACAGTTTCTCTGTCCCTATTGAATTCTCGCACTTAGACACATTGCCATTTTAAACGTGCGATATTAAATATTTGAACGCAAAATTTAGTGTGACTTATGCTCTCGCAGAGAGGACCGCCGGAATACTGACCACATACTGTATCTCGGCTGTATCCCGCTTACGTGTCTCATTTGAGTACGGCGAACCCATGGACTCGAGCTACAACGGAGGGACCGTCGGGGAACGTCCCAGGACCAAGGTCTCGGCCTTTATCGAGTTTCGCTTACGTGAGTTCCTACCAGTATTACCAGTGACGGAGCTTACACGGGCCTCAAGTGATAGTGAGAAGGCCGTAGTGTTAGTTACGACAGTCCCGCTAATGATATAGATTGGTATTACGGGGGCCGAGATCAGTCGCGGGGGTTTGGGGCCCCCGCTCTCGGCTGTCGGGTGTTGGACTCGTGGGGATAGTGTTGTGTTTTATGGTCAAATGCTGACAAGATAACCCAAGGAAGTTGCCAAGTGCAGGCTTACTTCGGTACGGGCTGCGCAAATAAAACTACTTCATACTAAATATGACTTATGTTAATACATGAATGAAGCTAGGTGATCTTCTAAAGTGCGCTCCATCGTTCTATATGGTTTCTATACGTAAACGCGTAATACTTTTTGGAGAATCCTCGTATTTCAGAATGAAGAATATTTGCACGCTTCTGATAAATCTTTTTATCTTTTACTATTCTATACTCTAATCAGCATCATGACTTTTAATGATGTATCAAAATTACTTACGATTCATATTGAGCGTGACAGAGCTGGAAATAGGAGTGACCATGTTGTTGTTGGACGCCTGGCAGGTCAAAATCGCGCCGAGGTGTTCGCGACCCAGCTTTTCTAATCGCAGCACGTTCCGTACCCTCTTAGTGCCGACGGTTTCGTAAGTGTCGTCGAGGAGAGCATTTTCTTGCCACCACGTCACACGTGGTTGTGGCCGACCTGTTCGGAACGAAACAGAATGAACGACGTCCGAAAACGGTGCTTTCGTTTGCCACGCTTCGTGCCTCGCTTTACTCGTATCTTTCATCGAACGCGTAAAAAAAGGATTCAATAAAAATTCCATACATTCTCCATTTTTTACCTCCTTCTTTCATCCTCTCTTTGTTAGTATTCGTTCCCTTTTTCCTTTTATCTTGGAACTGGCGTTCTGTTACGTTTCGTTCGCAACTATGCTTCTAATCGAATCAGTTTGCTGATACGTGCATATTCCAGCGACCACAGTTATTTAGAGATATATGGTTATATAGGTTATATAGAGAATGATAAGCGAAATTCGTGGATCGTGGAACGTAGTTCGGCAAAGAATTTTTAGGAATGCGTTGTTATTTCTCAGATATTGCAGGAATTTTTCGTTTGGAAGAAGAATCGGTAAAGAATGTTTAAAGATATTTTCTTTGTTTCCTGCTCGACCAATAGCGTTAAGGTGATTGATCGTAGTTACGTTCAGGTGAAAGAAAATGTTTATTCTGTCACGTTTCCTGTTATAAATTTTCTCAAATCTTTTTAAAATTAAATAACGACCTACTACTATAACAGGAAATAAGGAATATCTCAGAATACACTTAGACAAAAAACTTTTATGGAACATGCATCGCAAAAAAAAAGAAAAGAAAAAATGGGACAATTAAGCGAAAGACATAGAAAACTTCGGTAGCTGATTGGCAAAAAAATCACAGCTAACAATTTACAACAAGCTATTGATATATAAAACTGATATTCTCAAACTGATATGGACGTACGCCTGCCAATTATGGAGCACAGCATCGAACTCCAATATAAAATCAATAGAAAGATGGCACAACAAAAAGTCCAGAGCCATTCCGAAGGCAGATTGGTACAATCCGAAGAAATAAATAAATAAAGAAACCGGTGTACTTGCTGTAAGAGAAAAAACCGCCAGATACTGCAGGTTACATCAACAACTGCAGAAGGATCAGCTTGACATCCTGGCCACCAAATTACTGGACACCATAGAAGAATGCGAAAGATTAAAGAGACTCGGAAATCACTTTCGACATGTATAATACAGATTTACCGACATGAGCTAAATTATCTCAGGCTGTCTATACTCACATTTATGTTAATCTAAGTCATCATTAGACTGAGAATTTTTATGCATTTATAGAAAATTTGAAAGTGCAAAATTACAGAAAATGCGATGATATGAAAAAATATATAAAATAACCGAGCAATATTACTTTTTTAACTATATTCACAAAAATGTGAATTTGCATAAAGATCCACAGTCTATTCATTACAGTCCGTATTAAAATTTTTTTGTAAAAGAAAGAGAATTTTATTAAAAGTTAACACTTATGAGTTTTTAATTCCAATTGAGAGGCAATTCAGTTAACAGATTAAAATTTCTTCATAGTTAGTCACCAAGTATTCAAAGCATGCATTTCACTCCCTGCAACAAGCTTTTGAAAAATCAATGATTCATTTCCTGTTTTTACTCGTAACAGGTAGAAAAAATATATCGTACGCGCTACCCGTATTTGCGCTGTTTTCCCTCTCTCCCTCTCTCTTTCTCTCTCTTTTTCTCTCTCTTTCTCTCTTCTCTTTTTCCCCTGTTGATACAGAAGGAGACTGACGCAGATATCAACGACCCCGCTGGAAATAGGAATTTCAAATTTGCGTCCGATACTTTTCCGTATCGAGACCACAGCACCGGATCTCTCACCATGCTTCTGTGTATTTTGCTTCCGTTTTAATCTTTTGCTGTTGTTGCTTGCCGTTTGTTTATATATGTTGGCTCAATCAAGAGATAATAGAACAGGGAGAGTTGGAAAAGGCAGGTGGATACGGCCACAGAGATGATTAAAAGACGCGCGAAAAATGATATCGAACAGCGTATCGACGTATTTCGAGAGAGCGAACATGTTTGCGCAAACTATGAGCGGCGAACGGTTCAATAACGTCCCGATGAAACATCCCGTCCAATTTTCATCTCATAATACATTTAATCCTTTGCAATTTGTGCGATTGGTCGGTGGGTATTGGTTGCAAAATCGTATCTAACATTTTTTACGATACATCGTGGGAGCGCGCTCCACGTTGTACAATTAGTATTTTCATCATCGACGTTGAATGTTTCACTTGTTTTTAGATGAGTCTTTTTTGGATGTTCGTAAATGAAATTTAATATTTTGGCTATATCATTACTGGGTTTGAATATTTTTGATTCTACAGAATATTTCGTTATGCAAACACTCTTGCATAATTGGAACAGTATTGTTAATGAACTTATTAGTACTAATAGATATTGTAATATAAATTTGGTATAATAAATTTAATTAAATTTTACATACACGCAATTGAAGTTTTCATATAACAAATTATTCTATTATCTCATTCAATGTAAAATTGTAAAATTATAAGAAAAAAATCTATAATCTATAAACTGTAACTTGTTAATTTATTAATATCATTAGTTGATACTGTACGAGCGATTATCTTTTTGTAACACAGTATACATACAGCGTCGCGAAAGAGTTATTATATAGTAATCATATTTGCTTTCAAGAGAAGCACACGTGAAGCAGCGAAGTAGTTGATGCACTGATGAGGTGAATAAATAATTTTCTACATCCGCATATATTTATATATCTGTTCGAGAAATAAATAATTTCTCACGATATTATTGATTATTATTATTGCGATTATTATTATTTTCTAATTCCATTTCTGTACGATGTTATTTCACCTTCTCCTCAAAATTTTTTTCCAAATTCATCGCCAATCGAGGCACACTATTATATAATAGCCTCATAGAGTAATAATAGCGAACAAAATTAGAGCAAAAGTGGTAGTGGAGAAATTTTCACAGTCATTTTCCGCGGAAAATAGCCTCATAGAGTAATAATAGCGAACAAAATTAGAACAAAAGTGGTAGTGGAGAAATTTTCACAGTCATTTTCCGCGGAAACGACAAACAAACGATTGGATAGAATGCACAGTTACGGAAGCAGAACGGTAATTTTATGGTGGAAAATGGAAGTCGGCAAAATATTTTGCAGCACGCGACGTGCAATAATGTTACGTTGGTGAAACAGCATTAGACACTTTGGATTATGTACCGACAAGCACTCTGTTTACAATTTCCTATAAATAAATACCCTCTCGCAAATAATAAACGCGAGGCAAGCCACGAGATGCAGTTTGCGGCGCGTTTAAACGCCGCCGACGTGTGAAAGCGTGAATATCCTACGGGTAAGTATACGATCTAGTGTAAAGCACGTCTTTTGACGCACAGGGATGACATATCTCAAGGAAACTGCCGGTATGACGTGTGTTTTGATGTTAAACAACGATTGGGGTTCTTTAGAGTGATTGATGAAAGTAATTGATATTCTGATATGGCGCTCTCTTGTCTACGAAGGCGACGTAATAAATTCACACCTTGATAAATAACCACTGAATAATGTTTTCCGAGTTTATTAACACATTCGAGATTGACAAGATTGTCTCCAGTGGCCGAATGGTACTGCAGTTGCAAATTGTATTACATATATCTTGATAAATTTGCAATCCGGACCATTGTCATTATTATTATGTTTAGCACGTTATTTTACAATTTATTACTTTAAATAGAATGATTCTTTTGGTAGCAATTCGAGAATTATCTGATAATGTAAAGTATAGATGTCTCAGACGCCAAATTTTTGGAGAATTCTTTATTGAGGAGAGATATTACATGGTTCAGGGTATTGTCCACAGGTCTCAAATGGGTTAACACGAGAAAGCTCTTTATGGTTTTCTAGAATCGTATATGGAAAATGGTAAAAATGATTTCTTCTTTTATACCGTCTGTGGTCATTGAAATATGACTACGTATAAAAATTTTGCTTTTCTGATATTTCAACTGATTTCTGATATTTAACTATATTATTATACAAATAACAAGTTGCATGTGGATACCTAGATTATTTATACATTTACAGACTATTTTACACATGATGCCATGATTACACAGTTATAGTTTCAATATGTAAACTCTCGTGTACATAACAATTAATTTGATAGTAAAGGATGTCGTACAGCCAAATCCATTAGAGTTCCTTTCATTGAGGAATATCGCGTATTCTCATAATCAGCTAATTCAAGCGACTTGAATGTCATTGAAAATATCTAAATCCTCCTCAAATCGCTTATAAATTTGATACATCGTTATCATCATAGGAAATTTCGTAATGTTTACGTTTGAAATTTTTTCAAAAGCCAAGATGTTTGAATGATGGTAAAATAACGAGGATATAACCCAAATAACGTTTTTCTTATTAAGAACTTTAAATTGCGTTAGGCATCTCGAAAATGAATTGAAAAATAGGAAATTTCGTAATGTTTACGTTTGAGATTAATAGAAATGTGATCTAGTTATTGCAACAAAACTGATCAAGCCGACCTTATAGTACATACGCGACGTTGTCCTATATTACTTACACCACGCAGATATCTAATTTCCTACTTATGAATAAATCTATTATATAATATTTGATGAAACAAAGTCATTCGAAGGAAATACAATGACGAAATAACGAATCGAAATATAAATTTATATTATAGTAGTATATGAAATTAGATTTTGAAATACAAGGATAAAGAAAAAAAATCTGAACTTGGAAAAACGAAATAAAAATTAATTTCATCACAAAAGGTGGTTAGAAGCCCAATGAAATAGTTTCCATATTTAGAGCCTAATGTTCCCACCGAAGTAGAATGCCTTTGAGTAATACCACTGCATATATAGTCAGACAACTTGAAGTAGTTAGAGATAGTTAGACTGAGTTCCTCTCTGTTTCGCTATTTCCTACCCTACTTCTTCGTATAATGCAAATTGTGCATGAATATAACAAGAGGCTGATACAGATGATATTTAACATATAGCAAAAATCGATACATTTCTTGCATACAAAGAGTTAAAAATTTATTTTCAATCCTTACGACATTCTAACCGTTCTTAAAATTTCAGATTTTTAACATAATTGCATAAAAATGGATAACTCGATTTCTCGAATATACAAATCTATTTTAGAAACGTTTTTTCTTTTTCAAACGAAATTATATATTACAGTTAAACTATTTAATAAAATGGAAAAACTTTTAATTTTGTTATTTATTCTCAGCACAAACATTGCTCGATTAAAATAATTAAAACATTCAAGAATTAATTCAACCATTCTCGGTACTAAATTTTTGAAAATTAAGATAATTAAAATTTTTAAACCAAGGATACACACTTAGAATTCATACTGCCAAATTTCTCAAATGGTTTCAACGTAACATCATAAAAATCTCTGGTGTCACTCACAGAACGATTATCTAATAATTTTAAACGATTACTTTAAAATGATCTGATACGTTTAAGAAAACTATTTATGCGCGGTTGAACAACACATTTCATCAAACACGACCATTAAAAAAGCCTCGTAATACAACGGGTTAATAAATCGTTTCATCTGTAGTGCCTATGTTTTTTCTTTCACTACATTTCTCAGTTTCTGGTGTAAACGTTTTCTTCTGTGTTCGCCAGAGTACTATCTTATAACCTTTACTTTTCTCAACGTACCACGGCTTTCTCCTTCCCCTTTCGCGTCTGTTTATAGATCTTTATGCTACAAGGGTATGTATGCTTGGAGAAGTTAGATGCGCAGATGGAAAAGACGCGACAAGATAAACGTGCAGGCTGGTGCGCACGTATACAGGGTGATCCTGATAACATGAAAGTGATGAAATTTATAATTTGGAGGAATTATTAGTACAGTTCGAATAAATAAAATTAATGCTTCCAATTAATGCTTCTTGAACAGGTTACTATATTTACTAAGAGACATCTTCTAGATAAATATAGATTTTATGTATCGTTTCCTCATTAACTTACTTTATTAAAATAAACTGAAGAAATGTGCATTTCGGATAAATGATTTAACAAGTAAAACTTCTAAAATATAATATGATTTTCATGATGAATATCTCGATAAATATCTTTCAGACAGACTGTAGCTTACTTCTTTTACTCTACCTCCTTTTACTTCTTTTATCTTTAAGCTTACCGATGACTACTAATACTTTTATTAGAATATATATAAAATTCCATTAATTTCTATTAATAATACTGCATCATTTTAAGAAATGCAGTGTAAATAAATAATGTAAATGAATGAGATATAATATACGATCTTTTTATCAAAGTTAGTATAAGAAATATAACATAAATCTAATAAATTAAATATAGTATATAATCTTCTCAGTGGAATCTATTTAAAATTCCATTAATACAATATATATAACGTTCATGTCCTCACGTTCCATTAAAAAATGTCCTATTGAATTTCCAGCACTAATGTAATACATAAACGATAAAAACGCAGAAAAATAATAATTACAGTGTATTCTTCTAAAAATTACGTAAATTTGTACCTTTATAGCATCAACGAATAATTTAGAAATAACTGAAAATGTACAAATAGACAAGTCAAATGTATCACCCAGTATGTACGCAGGAATATACATATTCGGGTAACAAGTAACGAACCTAACACGATGTACAGCTGTGTGCTTCATCTCCTTCGCCGGTATCCGGCACTATTAAATTTTCATTTTAATCATGCTTCTCTTCCCCGAAGCGATCAACTTCCGGCTGTTTCGCTGATGGAAAGTTTCACGCGCGAGGATCGCGTGTCGGTCGTGTTACATTGAGATTAAGCGTCGATCGTATTGCGTGCGAATGCAAAATGGAATGTGATCAAAAATATTGATGCGAATAGAAATTGGTATCCGAAGGATCTGCCGAAACATGTCGACGTTTCCTCATCTCTAACGACAGGATTGCCAAATACGCCGATAAAATAAATTTCTGATAAATTTCTTCTCGCAATTCTGAGAAACGTAGATCTTGACGCTTGTACATCCCTATTGTCGCATCTTAAAATGAATCTGCTCGATTAGCATTGAAAAAGTACTGTTCGGCAAATTGGCCTTCGAAAATTGGTCTCGCTAATCACGTGCTGACGTAAAAATGTAAAACTGAAAAAATATACTCCTAACTTATTTCTGTACTTATTATAAAATCGAATCGTGCTAACTATTCATTCTTAGCTAGTCAGGGATTAGTCCAGGTTGCATATATCTAGCTGTTACGTCGCGTAACACTCTACCTAGCCCAGGCCACACACCGCGGGCAATATGGCAACCAGATGTCTTCGGATACTCGCAGCGTATCCTCCATAGTTTCAAGTACCTGCCATAAATCTCATCGATTTCCTAGAAAAGGTCCTTCAAACCGAACAAACGCCTGTTTCCGAAGTATTTCCAAAGACCATTGTCTACCACGGCGTGACAAGGGAAAATTAGTTTTTCTCACGTACGCTGCAACTTTCCTCCCACTAACTACTTTCTCTCGAGGGCGGTTAAGACCCTTCGTTTAACCAATTAACAACGAAGGCTATTCCCTCACTCTCTTAACTAACATCGGCACCAACAAATCCGATGGTCCCGTGCGCTAGACACACCCATCCTTAGCTTTCCTCCGACACATCATCGTCTCCCAAGACAGTTCTGATTTTACATCCTTACCGCGGGCAATATGGCAACCAGATGTCTTCGGATACTCGCAGCGTATCCTCCATAGTTTCAAGTCCCTGCCATAAATGTCATAGATTTCCTAGAAAAGGTCCTTGAAACCAAAAAAAACGTCTGTTTCCGAAGAATTTCCAAGGACTATTGTCTACCACGGCGTGACAAGGGAAAGTTAGTTTTTCTCACGTACGCTGCAACTTTCCTCCCACTAACTACTTTCTCTCGAGGGCGGTTAAGACCCTTCGTTTAACCAATTAACAACGAAGGCTATTCCCTCACTCTCTTAACTAACATCGGCACCAACAAATCCGATGGTCCCGTGCGCTAGACACACCCATCCTTAGCTTTCCTCCGACACATCATCGTCTCCCAAAACAGTACTGATTTCACATCCTTCGAACGGTCAACATCCTTCGAGCGGGTATACACACCCGCAGATCAGTCACTCACTCATCTCGCACATACGCACCAGCGTAACTACCTACGTTATAAGTTAGTGGAATAAACGGTGAAATATAACTTACTACTGTGTCGTATTCATTCAACCACCTCTGTTATCTTAACCGAAACAGAGGAACGACTACTTCGCGGCGTCGATTCACCGAATCGTAGCGAGAATTTACGCCTCTCGCTGACGCGTTTTCCCCGCGACCGCGTCTCTCCGCGAACGGTCGTAACAAAATTGTTTTACTAAATTACTCGACTAGATTTTGTCACGCACGCTAGGTTACTAAATCACTCGCCTAAATCACTGGATGTGCCTAATGGAGGCTTAACTACACAGATAAAGGAAATTATGATGTAAAATTACGTGGATCATCTTGTAAAATGACGACAACCGATGAAGAGAGAAGCATAGGCACAAAAACGGTAAAGTGAAGCGCAAGTATAATAGCGAGCTGAAAAAGTGATCAGGCGAAGGAATGCTGATCGGTTATTTCTAATATTTCTCATTATTTCTCGTCGATTTGCGAGGTAACACAATCGTAAAGATAGGCACTCATATTTGAAAGTGTCGCATATACGAATAAGATCGATAAAGAGCGGTACTTCGCTTGCAGCTACATCTTTTCGCTAATCACCTTTTCAGCTCTGTGCACTGTACTTACCACCAGCAGCGACGCAGGTAATATTCAGGGAGGCACCCTCGCTGTACGGGCCGAGCACGTAATAAGGAATATGAGACCTTCCGCTCTCGTCCAATATGCTAAGCTGCTCCGGTGGTACTGCAATAATTTCGCACAATAAGTTCGTCTACCCTTCGTTTTTCCGCGACTCACGCCAGCTCTTATCCCTTCGCTCACGCTGCGAAACAGCTTCAGCGATGACAAAGAAATGGAATTCTGGCTCTCGCGCCACAGAGCGAATCAATTTGCAAGGCAATGAACTAATGACCTGTGCCATCCGACGGACACTATGGATGGTCCATGGAGATCGGTATTTTTATTTGACGCAAATGAAAAGCTCCCTGTGGCACGCTTGAGGAGTCGCGTGATATAGAAATTATTTTCTAGGAGGTTTTATAGCGCAGCTTTGTAGGTAAAGCTGTATTTTGGAGCAGAATAGAAGTCTGTCTATGGGAATTTTAATTCGAACGGAGTTAGTGTCCGGTTAATCTTCGCAAAGGATAAAATGGTAATTGATAAGACGTCTGGTAATGTAGGTTTGTTGCAGGCTGATTACTTATAACTAAATGTAGATGCTTGTACATTTGTGAGAAATTTAGGAGTGTTGGGATATAGGATATGCCTAGAAATAGTTTTCAATATGATATCTGACACTATTGAAAGAGTTAAACGAATACTTGTCGATGGAACCTATTCTTATTTGACAAAAATTGCTTTTGAGTAAATAATTCATTATACTTATCCAAGACTATACATGGAAATAAAATCGGTAGAAAAATTCCAAAGAAATATAAACCGAACGGAGGAAGAAGACAAAAAAGGATCTCAATCTTCGTGAAATTTTCACTGAACTCTCAGTGAAAGTACTTTTTAATAAATAATCCATTATACTTATCCAAAGATTATTATATTATCCAAATGGAATCGGTAAGAAAAATTCAAAGAACTACAAGCCAAGCAGAAAAAGTTCAATTTTCCTAGAATTTCCTTATCGTTGATTAACCGAAGAGAAACAGAAGGAAAACGAATTCTTTCGCGCGACAGCAAGATCCGCAGGTACGAATCTACTTATCGATATCGTCGACATCGAAGTCGCAATTTCGACGAGGCGAGCGTCGTAAAATCACCAATCGAATTTCGCATCCCCCCCCCCCA